GGTGAGAAAACAGCCGAGCGGTCAAGGGAGCTGGGAGTGGCTGGAAAAGAGTCTCGAGTGAGATCAGTCACTGGGGAGCCAGGCTGCTCTTGGTGTAAATCCTCTGAAGGACCCAACCGCACGCTCCCCCAGTGAGCAAACATCCCCCAGTGAGCAAACATTCTTATTTGCTCCATTTCCCACCAAGAGCCACACAGTAGGCTCACAGCTGCCAAGAAAATAATGAAGCCCGTGAAGTGCCTTTGTACAGAGGAGCACTCGCCAGCGTAAGCATGGGGACCGGCTCCTTCAGCTACCGGTCTGCCCGTGCCTGGCACAGACAGCGCTATCAAAGCCTCTCCCCAGTGACATTGCTGAGAGCCGCTCACCCATCCGCTCTGTAAACCCTTAAATTATGCACCAGCTTTCCCTTAACCAATTCTCCCTGGTCCCTTTTCTCCACCACTCCAAATGAGACGGAGAAAGACGGCGAGAAGGAACAGGAGGTGGCTTGCTCGAGACTTCCTCGGGAATGAGCGGCAAGGCAGACCTACAACTGCGAGAGGGGCCGGCAGCTAGCTTTGGGTCCCCGCTCGCTCCTGGCTCTCCAAATCAGAGTATATCCTACTAGGGAAAGGGTTACCGTCTCGGCATCTGCTATAGCACCTCTGTGCACCTGCCCTGGCTCTTATTCCAGTCCCCACGCTTCCAATCCTCGTCTCTCCTATGTGCGCTGAATACAAAATGGAGAAGTAGAGGTCCCCCTTGGTGGCTTGGCAGACCCAGAGAGAGAAACAGAGGAGCTGCCTACGGAGACGGGCAGCCACCGAAGTTGTCTCGGGCCACCTCTGGGCTCAGCACCCTCCATCAGCAGGAGGCCAGACTTAAGTAAATCTCTGTGATCATTTGTTCCCTTTGAGTTTTGAAAGCAGAATGCCTAATCATGGCCAAAATCAGGTAAGAGCTGCTGCTGCAAATTACACAGCGCCACAGGTAATTTCTGATTAGCTCACTCTTCCTCTCCTGGTGCATCCTCAGTTTCCATAGCAGCTAAGTCCTAAGTAAAATGGAAACATCTGGTTCAAGCGCAGGTAAAGATTCCCTGGGGAAAGAAACCTGCTGGATGGCAGCAAACACAGAAAATAGCCCTCGCAAAAGACAGAGGCATCGTAAGCCGGGAGCCTGGTTAGGAAAGGATGGATGGCCTGCAGGAGAAGGCAGCGAGGGGCACAGGAGTGGGAGAGGAGGGTCCCGGAGGAGCAGGAGGGGATGCGGGAAGGAGAGCGGGCCTGCGGGGAAAACAAGATGCATGTGAAAAACAGGCAGCGAGGAGGTTGAGCAAGACAAAAAGACATTGTCAGGGTAGACAAGGGGAAGAGGAGAAAGAAGAAAAGGCTTCAAGGTGGGAGCACATGGACTGCCTCAACCATAAATGCCGCCTGACGGTGACAGATACAGTGACAGCAACTTCGATGCTGTGGATAGACACTTGGGGCCGGAGAGGAGCACACGGATCTGCGCCCTGCATTTCATCACTTATCCGACATCACAGACCCCGACCGAAGGCCACCGTCTCTGCGGCACGACCACCTAAAGCGGATAAGCCAACACGTGCACCGTAGGGGAATGGTTTCTACAGAGGCTTCTGTCAAGGGAAGGGGCTGAGATGCCGCCGACTCGGCTCGCTCTCTGCCTGGGCTATGGAGAGTGATGGATCTGGCCCAGCAGTTTGCTACAGCACAGACAAATAGTAAAAAATCAAGGGAGCTGCACCGAGACACCGCAGCCATCGTCAGGCAGCTGAATAGAGAGTGCAGACGCGGCGCCATCCATCGCTGCCGCCGCTGCATCGTCTCCTTCGGCTGCTGGACAGCCCGGCTGGGGCGTCCCTGAGGAGAACTTGAGGCAAATGTCTGGGACAACAGCCCACGTTAGTAAAACCTCAGGGGAAAAATGACTGAGGTTGAATGAAGGGCTTAGACAGGATCAGAGGATCAGAGCCAGGCACTGCCCCTTGGCCGGATTGCTCATCCCACCCAAAGCCCCCAGATCTCACCCCCAGCTCACCGGCGAGGACCTCGCAGCCACCTGGGACTAACAGGGCAGCAAAACGCAAAGCAAATGCCAAAAAGCAGCTGGGAAACGGTTTTGAAATAATATGCTCCCGAACGGGCACGTATGGGAATTTGCTTCCCAGCAGTCACACCCACACAGTTCTGCTCAGGTTTTGCTTACCAATTAACAAGGCCACCAATTAATGCTTTGTGTGTTTTCCTGCTCATTTGCACTATTTACAGTCCTCCTTTGAAGCAACATGCGAGAATTCCCCGAAAACTTTTCAAAATAGGGCCGGACAAGCACATGCAATCCCTAAGCATGACAACCCCAACCTGGTACCTACTGCCAGTCCTCCACACGAGCAAAACCATAAGCTCCTCTCCCAGACCACCAAGATGGATGTTTCTCCACCAGAGTCATCAACTCCTGCATTAAGTCACGTCTTTTCGGTGCACATCACCTTCTCTTTGCAACTGAAGCACCACGTGAACCAGCCAACGACGCCTCCCCAGCCGCTCGCAAATGGCGCTGTGCCCTTCCCGGAATATTTCTGGTAACATTCGGCTCTTACCTTTGGGCGAGATGTGTCTCCAGGTGATTGTTGGATCTGGCCTGCCCGTGGCTATGCAGGTGAGGCTGACATTGCCGCCCTCGTTGATGGAGATGTCAGAAGAGATCTCGGTGATTTTCGGAGACACTGCAATGACACAAAGAGGGAAATGAAAATGCAACTGGGTCTGTTCCGACTCAAACCTCAAAATGTGGGTGAAGGAGGCTGAATTTCCTTCCTCCCTCCACCTCGACAAGCTATGCAGTAGCCCATCAGTCTCATCTGACTTGACAGGAACACAGAGGGGAAAGGGGGGACAGAGAAGACAGGGTTGAAGTGGGAAGAAACTGTAGCCAGAGGGCATTCAGTCATTTTAGGGAGGCTCGAGACAGCTCCTCCTCAGCACCTCCGTGGTGTGCGAGATGGTACTTCTTCCCCACCCCGCTTCCAGTACCCATCCTGTCCTCCCAGCCATGAAGAACCCTTTCCAGCAGAGCTGCATCCCACCGAGAAAACACCATCCACCCCCTTCAAACTCCCTCAAAGGCAGCAGTCACTCCTGGCGCAACAAGAGCACCCAAAGCATGCACATGGCTTGCAGCTCTTTCTGCAGCCTTGCAGGCTCTCTGTCATGCCCTTGCAACCAGAAAAGCACCAAGAGGAGCTGGGCCTGAAGACGACAAGTCTACTGAGGAGCCTCTGAGGTCTACCACCGTGCAAAGGAAGGGAAATTCGATCGGGATGAAAGCCATCCCACTGCGTTGGCGCCGCCATCACGAACACTCAGGAGCAGGTCAGATACAAGGGGCCCAGACCCAAAGAGAGGACATACATACAGGACAGAGGGTGATAAGAGGGGGAAGGGATGAGGAGCAAGCAGGGAGCGCTCAGCCCCTGCTGCTGCGTGAGCGGAGGACGCGATGCGGGTGCCAGGGAGGGCTGGGGTTTCTACGAGCTCTACGGCAGGGCTGTACGAGAAAAACGATTGGCTGCTGTTATCAGCCTGCACCTGCAGAACATAATAAAGACCATCACCTTCCTCGGCTTATTTTTTTTCAGGCCATTCTCCGGAGCCTAGCAGCGGATTGGCACCCCACTGCGGCGCTTTGCAGGAGAGTCACAAATCACTTGCAAAGCATCCTGCTCCTTCCACCCTCCCTGGGCGAGCCCCGTTCATCGACCCCGCTTGAAGCTGCAGCCCCGACCATTGCAACACCCCTATTCCTTGGACCGCACTCCTCAGCACCCCTTCCCTGCATCTCCCCGCCTCCCACACCTTCCCGGGGCTGCGCCGAGCCGGAATGACTGCAATGGCCTTGCACGCATTGCCTCTGCTGTGCAGGTAAGTAATTTATTGATCCGTAAAGCACTCCAAGATGCTCTGGAAGGGATTATGTCATGCCAGTGCCGTGCAATAAAATAAAAAATGATGGATTTTTTGTGAACATGAGGGTGATTTAGGGTTTGTAGTTGGAAGTGTAGTTAAAGTACATTTTAAGTGGAAATCAAGGTGGGTAATGAATTATTCTCTGTTTTGAAGGGCTTCTGGGAGTTCATTTTTTTGCTGCTCTGGGCACGACGGCTAATCTGCTAATCATGCACCGGAGGACAACTATGGATCAGACGCTTCCAGAACAGTGGGGGCTCTGGGGCAGGACAGTGGAGGGCATGAAGATGACATCGAAAGAAATATTAATATGCATCAGTGTCATTAAGCCCAGCATAAAGGGACAGCACGTGCCTCCTGGGACCACCCGCCCGCACGGAGCTGGGAGATGCTCTGCCAATAGCCACGTAGTCCATTGAGGAGATGCAATTACTTCCAACGGCGCTACGATTGCCCCACCGCGTTCCTGGCGAGGCTGGGACCGCCAGCCAGGAAACCCATGTGTGCTTTAAAAAGACCGAGCTTACGGTCTGGACAACAAAAATAGGCCAAGGAGGTATTACGGTTGCCATTTCAGAGAGGTGGAAAGAGACAAGTGGAGGCACAGTGAATTGCCCACCATCGCCTGGGAAGAGGCAATAGCTTCCAGCTGTAAGTCCCGACAAAACTAGAGCAGTATCTATCATCTTCAATGCGATGCTTGCTAAATCTCACAGGAACCTTTCTGATGTTTTTAACTACTGAATCCACATCAACCCAATTCAGCTTGTTTTGCAGAGCTCACCGAGACTTAAAAAAAAATCAAGTCAGACTTGGCACCGCGACTCTGGTACCGCACGCATGGATTTGCACCCAGCCAGGAGAGAGACAAAAATCCGTAATCAAATCAACTGACCAGATTCTAAAACATAATTACAACAAATTAAACTTGGATTTCCCGAAACACGAGCGTTACATCCTCCTCCTCAGCAATACAGCAGGAGATTTAAATCTTGCTCAGACCAGGCAGAGGGGGAGAGATGATTGCGTTGCTGCTTGGCTGGGCAACGGGAGACTTTGCAGCTCTCTCTGACAAGTGCAAAAGCAGCTCGAGCCGCTCGTGCGCCGGGGAAAAAGCCCACCATGCCCCGGCGAGCTCAGGACATGCTCGGGGAGAGGCAATTTACTGCGGCCCACCTGGGATGAGATGAGGCAGGAATGGCTGGGAAGTAAACCAGACCGACTTCAGCAAAGTCGTTAGCTAACCCTTAGATTAAATGTGCAGCGGTAGGATTTAACACGACAGTTATTGTGTGCTAACTAAATGTTTGAATAATTAACCACACAAACTATTTAAAATGCCTTTTTAGAGACTGAACAGGTATGTTGCAAGGCTTCTACCACACTAGGGAGGGAAACCTTAATAAACAGGTGATCGCAAGTATATATTTAATATTATTTAATGGTCACCGGTGCTCCCGTTCCCTCTGCATTAAAGCGCTTTCACCGTCAGTTGGCATTTCTGCAGCAATGGGGCAGATGAGAAATTTCTTAGGCTGAATGCAGGATGCAGATGGAGCTGTGCCCCTATGGGAATGAATAAATAAATAAAGCTAAATAAATGCAGGCTTCCCAGGCGGGAACCCTCTCCTTGCGGGCAGTCCTTTTGTGTTCAGCATCTCTCTTGCTCAGGAGTGATTAAACATGGCAGTGTTGGCCAAGCTGCTCCAGTTACACAGTGCAGATTTCCCCAGAGACAGGCTGGTGTTTTATCGATCTGATGACTTCTTTTTTTCCCTACCCTTGCCATGATGATGGGAAAGGTCTCTGGGCTGCTCTCAGCCACTGCAGCCCTCCGCAGGTGCCCAGGGCATGCCCTCAGTTTGCCCGGGCTTGGCACTCGCTCGCACATGCGGAGTCTCCGGGACAGAAAGCAGCTTGCTTAAATATTTAACCAAACCATATGGTGCGTTACACGTTTGAGGGTGTTCAGTCAGGTGATATACGTCTTTACGGATCCAAGCATATGCACTTGCCTACACAGATATATTCCCTGGCGCACAGACACCCTCCTGCCACCGGCACTGACTATATCCCCGCTATGCTTTCACCTCCAAACACCCGTCCCAGAGCCAACACAGGTGCAAAAGCTCACGCATCCCATGCACGTACCCCTTGGCCCTGCCATCTCCTATCATCGTTGCTTCCCCATCCATCTTCCCTGCATGCATTGGCCGTGCTGCTGCCCGTGCTTTCCTCTCCCCGACACTGCGTCCCCGCCGCTGTCTCCTGATGTACCCCTTGGCGTGACTGGGCTCCCTGGGCACCCCAAATTTTAGCCACGCATCAGGCAAGAAGCAAGGAGACCCCTGAGTATTAGGGGAGCGTGAATCTCGAGCAACCTCTCCACCAGAGACAGGGAAGGAGACCGCAGATGAGCCTCACCAAGGTGGGTGTCTGCAAGGAGTAATTGCATTTTTTGCCTTAACCACCTCCTTTCTGCCCAGTTTTGGGAGCCAAGCAAGTAGGGCAGAAATACATGTGTGACCTTTCCAGACCTGCAAATCCCTTCTCGTGCAGGAGCCGGGCAGAGCGGGTGCTTGCCCCAGCAAAGCGCTCTGCACTGTGGAGGACTCACAGCGGCCAGCAGCAGCCTGTGAGCGAGCAGGCTCTCCCGGTAAGCCTAGCAGCGCCTTGCTTCCCCCTCATAAAACATGCAAACCTCCATCTTCCAGCACGAGCAACATCTGCTCCAGATCAAAGGAAACCACAAAGAACAACTATAAAAGCGTCTCAAAGAAAGAAAAAGAGGGAGATTCAGACTTGCGTTCTGCAGGCGATCTGTGATGTGCACTGGCAGCTTCCTGAACATCAGGCTGCTGCTGCTGCTCCTGCTTTTAATAGCAGCCTCTTACCGCTGTCACCCACAGACTTCCCTGTGTTTTGCAGAGCGCTGCTACCATTGGTCCTGCCTCTGGGACTCGGCGAGCGAGAGCCCTGGGTGCCCCAGCCCTGCTCGCAGCGATGCTACGAGCTGGACCGAGCCCGCACTCCCATGCCAACAATGGAGGGGTCCGCCGAGGCCAGCTGGGACTGGGTGCCGGGCAGGGACCCCAATATCGGGCTCCCCATCCAACTGCTCCAGGTTGCAGCCAGAGCAGTGTCCACTTCCCTGGCAGCAGCCGCAGGGTCGGCAGAAGGTACGGCGCTCCGGCTGCCGCAGTGCCAGGAACCTCCATTGTACCTTCTCCCTCTTTTGTGTTCAAAACCTTTCTGCTTTTTAAGGCAGAGAGCAAACTGAGAGACCTGCGCCTTCAATTAGAGGTGTATTATGATGGGCTTTTAAATCAGTTTGTGCCACTCTAACACAACCATAATTAAGAGAAAAGCAGAGAGGGCTTCATCCTTCCGTCATATCAACACAGCTCAGGAGCTGTATTGAAGTCCACGGGGTGCAAGGAAGGGCAAACACAGCCTTAGAGCCTGCTTCCAGCTGCCTTGCTCGGTCACGTAGGCTTGTACACAAAAACCTGACAATTACAGGCGCTGATCCTGCCCCCCGGGGCTGCCTCTGCCCTGGGTTTGCACAATCACCCCACAATTTCCCTGCCGGCGTGCCGGGTTCGGCTTGGCTTTGCCGAGGGACCGAGTCCCCTCTGCGCAAACCTGGCAGCAGCCAAAGACGTGAAGAAAGCAGCCTGGAAATGAAGAGGACATACGTAACGACCTTAATAAGCAATTAATAAATAACTAATGGCAATTGCTCGTTTTAAAGCAAGGC